CTGCCTGCCTTCCTGGAGGTGATGCAGACCAGTCTTATCTGGCAGATGGGATCATGGAGAAGGAGAGAGACCACCCCCTGCACTGCATTGCATATGAGAGAGGGTCCTAACAGTGGGAGAATAGAGATTGAAGTCAACTGAATGAATCCTGGCCTCAGCATTCAGGCTGGGACCTGGAAGCACTGCAGCAATATGAATAAATAGTTATAGGAGGTGCCGAAATACCCAGTGAAGTAACCATGGTATTAAGGCATGCTTAGTATTTTGTAGGAGTGTACCACTTTTGACTTGTGCTCAGTCAAATTGTTGGCCTTCTCGCATTTTATTTCCGGCAGCACAACAGAGATGCTAAGTGCTTTCTTTATGCCACGGTACAGGGCACTTCCCGATATTGCCATTTTCTGCCGTTACTTCCATGTTTATCAGCAGTTAAATAAGGCACGATAGACTCACTAAGCTTCAGACAATCTAAGTGCCTTCATGCATCAGACGTTTCCACAGGACCTGTGGGGGAGACAACAGTAGGGTTGACCACTAAAATGTGCTATTTTATTGGACATGGGCAAACAAATAAGATTCTGATGGTTTTGGTCAAAGTGGTTAAAAAAGACCAAACTGGCATGCTACTCTCTTATTTTTCTCAAAGTTGTATATGTACTATGAAGCTCTGGGCCTCGCTGGAAGCCTTGACTGTTGTTAACGGGCTTTACTTACGAGCCTTTGGCGTGAGGTTAGAACAAAAGAAATCCCAGACCTGCACACGAGGCTGCACAGATCACTGGAGAATTCTCCCAACAAGCTGACACTAACACCGGCAGCCAGATGTGAAACTCGGATCAGAGCAACAATGAAAATAGACTGTGGTTTACAACTACTTACAATAATAAACAAAGCATATCAAAGGATCCCCCAAAACACACTTTCTCTGTAGAAGGTTACATGCTTTTATTATTCCAGTCTCTAACTTTAAAGCATTTTTGTCATTTTTTAGAAGAAGAATTAAATAGCTGCAGATTCCTACCAGTGACAATTGTGAGGGACTGAACTGGGCTTGCGGATGAACCACATCCACCTCAAGGAGATTGCCTGCACAGTCAGCAAAAACTTCAGGAAGATTCTGCCCTGCAAAATCTTTCTTAAATTTATGATACATTTTCGCAGGGCCTTCACTTGTGTAAGGATCTCTGAATGCTCTTCCCACTAACCCATGCAAATAGTCACAAATGTCATTTCCTGTTTCTGCATTTGGACTGTACAGTGTTCAGTCCTTCACTTAGCTGATGGTAAGTTCATTTATCTGAATAGCAGGATGAAATGAGAGTGTCCAGTCCCTCTGATCAGATATTAATTGCTTTTTATATGTAGACATGAGCATCACTATATGGCATGACAAAATGTCGTAACAAGTCTTTGAAAAATGCTTCAGTATGTAAGCCTTTGAAGTGTGTAAGGTGTTAATTAGAAGTGCTGGCTTGTAGAAAAATTAATTCAGCTATGCAAGCTCTGGAAGAACTAACCTGTGAACAGGAAAGTGGCAAAAGCAGCAGTAATGTGAAAACAAGTAAAGCCTCTGTTTCAGCTTGCATTTTTCATGAATCTATTTTAATTGTTAGCATTCTTCTAGCTTCCAAATTTCAATGAAGGTGAAAGATGCCTTGTTCTCCAAGGTTCATATCACCTTACTAGAAAAGCCAGGGAGAAGGACTCATAATGTCTGCAATTACAGAGCTAGATCTTCACTTAAGGTTGACATGAAATTCTTTGCTAAAGTTCTGGCAACAAAATTGGAGGAACTTATTCCCTAAATTGTTTCAGCTGACCAAGCAAAATTTGGAATTTTCTCTATGTCCTGAAGCTTCAGAAAGTTAATAGTCTCTGTTATCTGGACTCGGTCAAACTCCTGTCACTTTCCTGGAATCTTTGTGGGCTGAAATATTTGGATGTTTTTACTCTTGCAGACATCTGCAATCTGCCATGGAATGAAATGTGAGAAATTTTGTTTTTTATTGCTTCAAAATGGTTCAAAATGGTTCCCTGTAAAGCACTCTAGGTGGAATAGGTGGAATAGAGGAACATGCTCTACTCTAGAACTGAAGATGAAGCGCTCCAAACTGAAGACGAGTACTCTAAAAACTCATGTGTATTAGCTCCCTAGACAAGATTTCATTTCCCATTGCTGGCAGGAACATTAAGGGAACGCTTTTAAAAACCCTTGTGCAAGCGTACAATGTTCCGTAACAGGAATACAGAAACTCCCCCATTAAAGCGTATGCATATTTGTTATTAGTGCTATAGGTAAGCCAATAGCTGTTCTGTTCTGGCCCTCTTTTCCTAGTATTCCTGATGAACGACAGTTTTGTCAATGAGTGGAAGTGGAGTGGAAGCTGGAATATTTTCCTAACTCATTGGATAGTCTTTACATGCTTCAACAGACAAGCTCTTGTGGCAATGAGATTAAAATATTACCAACTTTGTTTTGAAACAATGACACAAGGAATGTTTGCAAGACTCTCTGTGCAGTGGTTTGTGATTTAGTTCATGTTTGGAAACCACAGTTTCTAGATTGCAGGACAGCTCATAACTTGGGAATTTCCAAAGTGACTATTAACTGGAATGTCAGTTTGTATAACTGTGTCTGTGTGAGTTAAAGTTTTATCCTCTTACAGGTGGCACTGGTGCTGAGGAGAGGGAGGGAGAATAAGAAAAAACTTCTTGCAGTTCATTTTGGGTGGGTGCAGTGGAAATTCGAACGTTGTCACTCACCCACCATGTCTGGAATTAATCTATCTGGCAAACAAAGTATAATCATGGCAAGAAATTATATCTGCTACACTGAAGTCTTTCCTGTGGGGCTGATCTAGTTTCTTATGAGGTCAATGGCAAAGTCTTCATAGGCTTCGGTGGGAGTCAGAGCAGGGTAGGTGCTTCAAGTCTTAAATGGATGTAAGAGCCTCCATTCCGGAGATCACTGTAGGGGAGCTCCATCAAAGTGCTTATGTACCAGAGACACTCAAAGATCCTAAGCAGCTTCCTGAATCTCTGCTTCAAGTACAGCTCAGTATCTTGTGGCCACTTTCTCACTGAGGCTGCTCTGAACTCAGGCCAAGTTCATGGTTCTGTTAGTTCATCTTTTGCATGTTGTTTTGCACTTTCTCCACTCTGAAGCCAGATACTCCAAAATTGATGGGATCAGAAAGCAGATAAAAGGATGTTTAGGACCCTCTACTAAGAATGAACTAACTCTTCAATTAACTAACTTAGACATTTTGATGCTTGCACAGTGCTTGCTATGAATCTCAGGCTATGATCTCTGTTTTTTCCCCTTCATTATATATGAAACTTAGGTGCAAACCCAGCATGGTGATACCTAGCTCTGCTATGTTCCGTTGCTGAATACCTGGTGAAGTAAAAACACATAACTTAACTTCTGCAGAATAAGAGAGCTTCTTAGCATGAGACTGCATAAGGTCAAAGTTTGCAAATGAGAATATTATTTGCAGAAAAAAACATGCTGCAAGAGGATGTGTACACTCCCCAAAACTGTCATCCAAATTCAGAGCATGTCTGAGCTTACTATCCAGATGGTAATGAGTAAGAAAAATAGAAGGAAGGAAATAGAGGCAGGAGACTGTGTTTAGAGTATACTTTTTTTTTTTTTTTTTTGCCTGGGTTGGTATATCTTTAAGATGAAGACAAAAGATTATTAAGACACTCAAAGCTAAGTGCTTTTCGGCTTTTGCTGTCACTTTTTCCTAATGGGAGTGGAGCCTGTTGCTTCGTGTCCATGAACAGCAGATTTGGTGCCTAGAGAATGCAATAGAGAAGCCAATAAAAGACACAATATTGCAGCACGCTCAGGTCAGTGAAACATGATGAGCTCATGGAGGAAGCTCTGTGTCCAAGGACCAAACATACTAACCTGGTGAGGACCTAGTTGTGGGCAGACACACCAGGATAAGATTTGGCAACCTCAAGATTTCTAAAATTGGCTTCTTAGTTTCTCAAAATAATAGCAGTGGTCTAAGTTTTGGAAGATAAAAAACATACTCTTACTACTGAGTTCTTTTTGTTTGCCTTCTCATCTCTTTCACTTGAATGAGACTACTTATTTGTTGTCTAACCAGTTTGGAACTGAATGTTCTTAGACTCCCACATATGAGGAATGCCTAGCTTTCTCCAGTGCCTAATTAGTGCCTTTTTCTTTAGTCACCAACGATTCTTTGAACTTTTCCTCGTGTCTATCATGACTAGAAATCTATGCTTTTAAGGTGAAAGCTATGATTCCAGTTTAGTGTCTTTGGCAGAGCCAAATCTTTTCAATAGGAACCACAAATATTGAATGACTCTAAACATAGTATGGGAAATGTTAGCAGTACAGACGTCTTTACTGAAAAGTGGTGCACCACTTGAGTGGTGAAAGCCAACGAACTCTGCTCTAGAAAATTAAAAGCTCCATTCATAGCTGAGACCCCCCGTATCAGGCAGTGTGGCAACATGCTTACTTCTACCAGCTGGCAGAGTTTACAGGAACATACTTCTGAAGCTGGCATAGGTGTTTTCCAGAGAAAAACTGCTGCTCAGACCCTGTGAATATGAAGATTATTGGACAAAGAAGGACAACAATCCTTTCTCTTGAGAAAATCTCAGATTATTTTCTAAAACATAGACCTTGTGCTAATACCTGACATGTAAAAAACAAAATGAATGAAAGAATTTTAAGAGGGATTTTACCTCAGCGAGTGATGCATTTTAATGCACCATAAACACATTACCCTCACCTCTTCTGCATTACAAGGTAACATGTTGTTTTGTTTTCAGTTTACCTCCCACCCTGTAACTGTTGCTCTGTTTTCCATTACTGCAACTTGCAGTGTAACAACAGAATTGTTGAATCATATGAGAAGGGTCCAGCAAATCTTATTTGTTCCACCAAAATTCTTTCCATGTGTTCAAGTTTCCTTTTTTTCTTTTGCTAATTTTTGTCATGTGCTTCATTTTAGTCTTTTCTCCCACACGTTGGAGGCCACCATCCTTCCCTTACCACTGACAGGTTCAGAGGCCTTACAAGGAGTAACCAAAGCCTGTTGGACTTACCACATCCTTAGAAGAACATCGTCACTGGATATAACCAAAAACTGCTCTTAAAAAAAGCGAGAAAAGGCGAGGACTAAAATAGAAGGGCGAAAAAGGAAGATTTGAACTGGAGAATGTGATCAATGAGTTAAATTAAAGATGCTAAATGGGAAGAGAAGAGAGCTAGACCTCTCACTAATGAAGGAGTAAAAGAACTTTTGATTTCAAAATGACTGACTAGACATAAAACCAATTAGCTAAATTCAGACAAAGGAACATACTATGCCTCCAGGATAAACTGAGCAAACTCATATGGCAAAGTGCAAGGTAGTGTGGGATCTGAGCATATTTTTGCAGTAGGCCCTTTGAAGTCTCTCAGCTAGAGCTCAAAATCATACAGGATTTCATCAGAACTACTGTGCACTTCATTTGCTCAACAGCGCATTTGTGCATATACGTTTTTGGGGGCAGGTTTCCAAACATTTAATGCCTCTTTCCTTCCTTTGGGAAAGGATAATTTCGGTCATTGGTCTCTAAAGAACTTTTTCCAACAACGGTTTTGATTTGCTCAAGGAAAGGGAATGGGAATTCTATTAGAAGCAAATGCATAGCAGAGACATCTACTACTGCCCTTTAACTGCTTGAGACTTTGCTCTTGTGTGTTTTATTCACCTCATAAAAAAAGCTTAGAACCTTGTAAAAAATATATATCACAGAAAAGATGTGGGACTTAGCACAAATATATACCACACACATAGGGTGGTCTTTTCTTTGCATGTATTCAATAAATGCTTTTGTTGTTGTTGTTTTTGTGAACTTCCCATTGTTTCTTCATATTTGAATTTGATTTAGCTTGGACCACACTACCTCCATTGTTGTAGGTTTTTTCCTGTCTTACCAAGTTTATAGCTACCCAATAAAGAAAAAAGAGCAAAAGATACACTTCGTTATCAGAGCCAAAGTATGCAAATGCTTAAGAAGTAATGTCCACATTCATCTTAATTAAACTGTAAGAGCATATAAAACTTAATACTTTCTGCATAGTGATTTTTGATACAGGACTAGAACTTTTGCTAGCCAAAATATTATGGCTTAGAGGACTGGAACTGATACCCAGCCGTCCTATGTAGGTTTTGAATCTGGAAGGTTCCGAAAACAGTGTTTTAAACTAGTATTTGAAAATATTTGGGTAATATTCATAGTCAGACCCCAAAGGGATTTTTACATTCTTTCATTAGGTCAAAGGCCTATATTAAGTGAGGCGGAGGACACAGCAGGCTTCCTAGTGGCCAGTCATCCATCAGTAAAATTACTGTCTTCGTTGCTTCTGCAGTTGCTGCTCTTCATTCACGTTCTCACTGGAGAAGCCAAAGACTGTGTGGAATGTGGATGCTGAAGCATGGTCTAAATTATCTTTCTTTTGCAAGGCAGAAGTTTACTTTTCAGCACAGTCTTTAATTGCATAGAAGAAGTTAGGCAGAGTATTTGCACCAGCATGCTACTTATTATCAACATGGTTTTCATTTGAGAACTGTTTTTATAAAAATCTAGTTGAGATTACGCTCCTTTTTTAACATGTTGGACTTTATTTTTCTTAATCTTAGGATCACTCAAGCTTCCTGCCGAGGAATAGTTCATCCATGACACTCCTTTATTTATTTTAGTGTGCTGTTTCTCATCTGAGATGGATTTGTAGTGCTACCTTTTAGTATCAACTTAAGCTTTCAAGGGTCAGAAAAGCCCATGAAAATCACTGTTTTGACCTACTGGGTATTATTAGCAATTGCAAATCATGCTTGTAGCCCTGTCTGGACCCAACAGTTGCAGTTAGATTAAACCATTTTGCAGAAAAAGATGGTTTGACCGGTAAGCCTGAATTACCGTTCTTATGGAGCACTGCAGGAATCTCTGTGAAATGATTTATTTTTTTTTTAAGAAAATTTTTTTTGTTAGGGGAAGACTTCAGATGAAAGTTATTACTTTTTGTTTTTGAGTTAATTGTTGCAATTTTGTGTGTGTATGTGTGAAGGAGGGACCATTCTTTGGCATCTCCAGTTAGATGTCCTTTGCATAGCAGAGGTTTGAAGAAACAGCATTTTCCAAATGAAGGTTTCAGCAGTTTCTTTTTGGTATCAGAGCATTTGGAATTCTGCTTCTACATTTAGAAATGGATACCTAACAGAAAGTGCATTTGTTCCTCCCTTTTTTCCTTCCTTCTCTCTCACCTGACTGAATATGACAGTGAATATCGAGTTCTTGAAAGAAGTTGGTAGATTGTGCTTTTTCAAAAGTAAGTGGTATTTAATGTAGCCATTTTACAGTCCTGATTTCTATAGAAATTTCACAGGGATTTGAAACATGTGGCTGATGATGTAGAAGATCTGTAAAAACTTTAAGGAGTTGAATAAGCTTTAATGATGTGCTGGGCCAAATATGCTCAAAGCTAAGTGAGCTCAAACAGGCCTTAATGCATATGGAAGTAGAATACTTACATGGACAGCGTAAACCACTGAGTGTGAAGCATTACTTTCCTAGTAGCCAATGTTCTGTAAAGCTGGCTGGGACTTGGAGCTCTTGGAAGCAGCCTGCTTCCATGGGACCTGCTTCCATGAAACCTCCTTACAGGGCTGTAGTTAAGTGCTGTATCTGTGCCCTCAGGAGTTACTCTTATTTGACCCAGCAATGGCAATTCCATCCCATGACAACTTCCAGGTGTCTGAAATTTCTTTTTATTCTGCCTTGGAATGAAGAGAATTCAGCCCAAACCAAAAGCCCTTTCAAATGCTTTCAAGAAAAAAAGAAACAATGCCTTCTGTTTTTGAATCAGAAAACAACCTTTTGATCAAACTCTCTCTCTCCTTCTTTTTTCTAGAAGAAAGCCCTCCTGAATGTCAGGAGCATTATTGTAAAAATCCATTGTTTCCATGGAATGATTTAAGAGAACCGTATTCTTTTGTGAATAAAAGTTATGTCAAAAATATTCTGACCGCCTGTTATAAATGTTTCAAAGGCATCCTCTAGCCATCTTACTCTGATCTGCACTTTCTTCTGGCATGAACTTGCTTTGAAATGTACTACTACTGCTGTGGACAGTAACCATTTCTGTATTGAGTAGTCCTTTAAAGACTGAAATGATACTGTCTGAATTTCTTTTGCATCTCTTCTTCGTATCTCTTTCCAAGCCTTTCTTCTTTGCCACCAAGGAAGTCTTGCTGATGAAGCTCTGGTACGTCTCCATCTATGAGTACGTACTTTCCATGAGATCTGTACTCCTGCATCAAATTCAATTAAAATTGGCTAATAAGTTCGGAAGTTCTTGTAGGGGAGAACAGACCCACACCCACAAACACAACATGCTCACACAAGCTTCATTTCCTTTGGAAACCAGCTAAAAACCACAGAAGTGTAAATTACTGCACACAGTGAAAGGCCTTGGTGAAAGAGGCCTCATGGTCCAGTCTGTGCTCTGAGTCACATCGACATAAATGCACTGTGCACAAAATGCCCTACCTGCAGAGAAGTCAGAGAGGCCCAGTTCAGGTCCCATAGCCCCAGTAGTAAAGCTGTGGCCTGGGTAGTTAAGATTATGACAAAGGTTATGAGGACTCCCAGACAAACAGTCCACACTCCTCTGACCTTACTGGTCATTTATGCTAGTCTCAGTGCAATATATAAAAAGAGTTAACTAGAACTAACATTGCTTGCTGCAGAAATACTGTTAACACTTAAACAACGTACTGACTGTTCCTTAACTGGGTCTTCTCTTGATGTTCCCATCTCTGGTAAATGGAAACAGAGAAAAAGATGTTTTTGTTGGAATGGAACTTTGCAACCTTCATTACTTAAGTAGATTTGAAATTAGTTGTACATACAGACAAAAAAGAATTCACAGATGTCCACTAAGAATATTTCCTTTTCACTCTCTTCAAGCTGTAGTTGTGTCCTTTTACAGCCTGTTTCTCTTTGGTGGTCTTAAACCCAGAAGACTCCTTCCGGGGCTCTGCTGCTCATGCCAGATGCCTGCAGTGAAATTCAAGGGTGGTAAGAATGGGCTCCAGCCATTATAAGACCACAAAAATCTCCTGATGATTCAGAAATTTCATCTAAACAATAAAAAACAGGGTACAGATAACAAAGAAAAGAATAAAAAAAAGATGCAAGCATATCTCTCCTTTACATTTCATAGACTACATCTCTTGTAGCTAAAGATTTCATTAGTGCAGCTGTTGTCCTGCACTCTGTACTTCATAATTAGTTCTTCCTATGAAAATGTAACACACTAAATCTGGATTTACTATATTAGAAGTACTGTTCTTAAGATAGTTGGGTGACTAGTGGGTGATTCTCTTACTTTACAGATTGGGCTATTATCTATGTAGAGCTTTATGGGATGTCTAGCAAAAAAAAGGTGGTGATGGTGGTGAAAGGAAGTTACTTGAGTCAACTGCTGTGGGAAAAAAGGAATAAAATATTGGAACATTTATTTTTATATGCTTGGCAATAAAATTGAGACCAAAGGCCAAACTAGCAGCTGCTTATTCTCACTGAGATGTAGATATTTGTTGGGGGGATCCTGACTCATATTTTCCCCTTGTGACAACCGTAATAATCCAGTGGTTTCCACTGAGGAGGCATCTGACCTTGTGACTTTTCATTAGTGGTGTTATGGCCATAGAACTACAAAAATTGCTCCTGTAGTGCAGGAATCCTCCCCGGAGTGTTTCTGATGTACACAACTTCTTTGCTAATGGCTGTGATAACTTGCTCTGTCATTTGTAAGTCAGCTAGTTAATGGAAATGGAAGAAATAGCATTAATCAGATGTACAGCTACTGAGACAACAGTTTACCTGAGGGTCCAGGTTCACTATACAAATTAGTGGACTGAAGACAACCAAATTTAAGTTTTCTCTCCTTATAGCTTTTCTTGTAGACATCTGTTGCCGTGAATGAGAATCTTCGTGATGAGAAAGGGAAATCAGAACACAGAAAATCCTAGAAACTTTAAACAACTAACTGGCTGATGCTCAGCAACACTTTATTTCACAAATAGTCTTAGCAAAGGTGACAGGCCTGATGATATGAATAATCAGCTTTTTCTGAGTTGGTAGAATATCTTTGGTCATCCTGGTCTTATGGCAGCTGTGCCCCTTTCTTTGATATTCCTGTTTCAGGTGTGTCTATTAGAACCTCTCTGGCTGCATTTTGTAGTGAGAAGGAATTAGCTCAGCTCGGTATGTGTCAGCTGTGAGCAAGATGTTGCTAGTCATTGCTGTGAATCCATTCACAGTTGGCCGAAAAAAATTTGGCTATTTAGAGAAGCTGGCAATGGAATTTTATAAACCTGCAGAATTAGCTGTTTCCTGGCCACAAGTTTTGAAAGACCCAAATTTTAGATCATATGAAAGTTAATTTTCTTTATCTTTTCTCTGGATCTAGGATCTGATTCCCCTGTTCCACCTGAACTGGAGGTAGGTGTCTGCTCAGTTCCGTTATGCTCCTTTGAAAACCCACACTGTTAACTGTTAAAAGTCAAGGAAATGCTTTGCCTATGCAGGAAAAAATATTCTGAATCCTAGCTTTGAGCTTTGTGTACTGTGATCAAGAATGTTATCACATAATAATTCAGGCAAATTATCTCCACTCAAAGCATCTTCAAGAGACCACAGATAATGTTTTATCACATTCTTTGGTACATCTTTAATGTGTTTCCGTTTGTGCCCTTCCCCTTGGCTTGTCATGAGATTTTTTTTTGTTTAATCTTATTCTTCAGCTAGCAAGCAAGATTACAAGAACAAGATTTAAAAGCTATCTGCTTTTCAGAAGTAAATTTTAATCAATGAAATACCTTACATGTATAACGATTGTTTTAAAGCAAACAGTTTCAGACTTGTTTACTGTCCGGACATATTGTTGGAAAACAATTTAAGAGTGAGTCTGATTAGTTTCTAGGTAGATATCCTTCTGAATGGCATTATCTTCATTGGAAGGCCTGTGGCTTTAGACTGACATAAAGGACAGAGGGCTCAAATCTATTTTCCTTACACTAATAATCCCAGGGCTAGTAAAAAAATTACCAGAAAAAAAAATTTGGTTAATAAGAGAACCAGGAAGGAATTTTTGATCAAAATATTATCATCTGGAAATGCTAATTTTTTTCATAGCCAGAAGAACTTCCATATAAAAGGAAGGTTAAAACTCAGTTTCAAACAGTTTCTGATTCCACACTCAGTTTTGAGCAAAACAAGAAGTTTCAATTTTGGCATTGTTTAAATGAAAAGTTTTATGTTTTGCAGAGCTACATGACTATGTGATATTCAAACTCCAGTTAAAAAGTAAGAAGTTCATCACTGAAATATCACATATCCAAAAGAAATCCTTTGAATAAAAATTTTGGAGGACCTGCTTATTTCATTCCAATCTGAACAATAGAAAATAGAGAAATGGAAGGCTTATGTATCAATAGATCTCAAAAAGATGTACAGTGCTGCCTCAATTATTCCCATTTTACAGACGGGACGACTGAGACAAAAGAGGAGAAAATATTAATCTTTTGAAAATGAATAGAGGAGATGGTAGGAAACATAAGGTATGTCAGGATGTTCAGAGCATGCTATTCATGTTCTGCCTGACCATAGGAGAAGCTTTTCTGTATAACTGCTAAGAAGGAGGGTATATTTACTTGGGCACAGTTCTTGGAGTATGGGCAGAAGAGTTTGTACCTATTTGTCGTGGTGTAAGTAGAAATATCCTATATCCTAGGATGCAGAAATTACACTATGACCCACAGGGTTAAAGAGTTGTTGGCTTCTCCAAGCTGGTGCTTATTTTTGGACTGTTAATAACTTGGAAAGAGCATATTTGCTTGGACACAAAAATAGAGATGAGTGTTACAACCTGACCTGTATTTGTCTAGTCCCTATAATAATGTTGACGGGGGGGGACTTCTGAAAGTCATCTGGTGTAACCCCTTGCTCAAAGGAGGCAAGCGTCAAAGTGAGATCCACTTCAAAGTCAGATCAGGTTGTTCAGGGTCCAGATGGTCTCTAACAGAGTTTAAATGATGTTTTGAGCAGATTTGAACTTCAGTGCTATGCCCCGGGAAAGGATCCGTGTTACACCTTAACATGGATAATGCAGGCAGCAGACTTATACTGAGTGAAAGTCTCACTATGGCTTTTGAACTGCTGAGATTAAGAATGGAAGTCATCATCATTTAGGACACTATGTAATAGCTATGCAAACAGACAACTGACCTAAGAGCAGCACCAAAGCCTGCCCAGTAGCAACAGCTGGTTTGCGAGGAGAAGGTACAGCACGGACAATATTGGCAGATGGTTCAGCCAGTAGTGGCACTGATGCAACATGTGGAGATGCTGCCAGCCACCTAGCACAAGTGTTAGCAACTTGGATTAGCAAGTGTTTTAAAGAGATATGGACTATCAGGAGCTTACTTTGTTCTCTGTGCAAACAGTGGCATTGGCAAAATGGCCATCTGATGAGCTGGCCGATTTATCTGCCCTTTATTTGTGTGGGGCTAGCAGAGGGCAGACAGAGGTCAAAGAGATCAGGCAGATCAAATAGCTGCAACATGATGCTGAAGCTTGACACCGTGCCAAGCGGTCCTGAAAGGGACTGACCACCTCTTGGAGCACCTCCTCATCTTTTCTCT